AATTAACCACAAATCCATAATCTAAGAATCGAAACTATTGTAAGAGTATGACCAATATGTATTCGAATATTTTCGAATACGGATATTTTACTATAAAACCATATCCGTAACCATATCCTATCGGTTATAGATTTGAGTAACCATATTCGTATCTTAACGGATACGGTTACAGATATTTCCTCGGATACGTATATGGTTTGGCACCCCTACTCTTTAACATTAAACTCGAGCCACGCCATCCTATCCTCCATGCCATCCAACTGCACACCAAAGTCAGTATGATTAGTAGGAAGAGCACGAGAAGAACGGGGACGAGTGTAACAACCGTAATTTTTCGATACGTATTTAAATAATTTTTCTAGTATTTAAAATATTAACTTTTATTTTATTAATATTTTCCCAATTTCTAGAATTTTTTGGGTTTTCAAAATAAATAAATAAATAAAATATATAGTCTTGTATTTATTAATTCTGCTAAATATTAATTTATAGTTTAGTGAAATCTTTTTATAATTTTGGTCACTGACATTATTAATGACCTTGTTATTATTAATGTAAACCTGAGTATAGTACAATAGCATATAAATATAAATATAAAGATATTTGGTTGTTAATAATTTATTAATATAATGTTTATTCTGAATATTATGTAAAATATTTCCGTAATCTTTTCTCTCCCCTTAATTTTCTCTCATTTGAATTCATTCCATAACCCCTCCCTAATCAATTCCCTAATCACTCCCAATCAATCCCATAATAACGTTTAACTCATTCCATTTTTACTCACATGATTTTCTCTCTCTAATAATTCACACACACACACACACACACTCTCTCTCTCTCTCTCTCTCTCTCTCTCTCTCTCTCTCTCTCTCTCTCTCTCTCTCTCTCTCTCTCTTCTCTCTCTCCTCTCTCCCTCTCTCCTCTCTGCTCTTGTACTCTCCTTCTTTCGCTCTCACGCAACCCGCCCTCTCTGTCAGATCTCAACTCTCTCTCCTTCCCTCCTTCGACCACCTCAGCCCCTAACCACCATCTCTGAAGCTCCACCGCCGCCCCATTCTCGCCTCCACCAGCATCGGCTCGTCCGACGTGCCACCCCCCACCCCCTTCACCCGGGTCTCCTCCTTGATCGGTCGCCCTCTGACGCTATCTACTCCCTCATCCAGCGCATCAACCTCGACATCAACCCTTCTCAGAGCTGCCCCACCGGCACGTCGTTGACTCCCTCTCTCCCTGACGCCGTGCCGCAGCCCCTCCTCACTAACCTTGCCTCCAAACCCTTCATCTCCTCGAGCTCCTCCACCTCAGCCAGACGCCACCACCCACACCATTTCAAAAACTCTGAATGAACACCCAAGCCCCCATCACTCTCCACGAGCTCGAAGCCCGCCATCGAGCCTCTTAGCCATGACTAGCTCCTGCCTGGCCCCCCAACTCCGTGCCGTCGCTCTACCCCTCAACACCACCTCTAGATCCACACCGGCCTCCTCCACCCTCGCCCTCAACAGACCCAACAGCCTCTTACCCACAGAGATCTCGTGCCGCACCACCAGCGACGTCGCTGCCCCATCGTCAACGCCGACCCGCTCAGCTAGATCCATCACCCCTTCAATCCGATCGCGCCGCCCCCATTCACCATCGGACACCGTACTTCCACGTTGCGCTCCTCTGCGTAAGATCCAACCCGCACCGTCGACGTTGATTCATTCGACGTACCCGAGGCAAGATCCCTCTTGCTCTTCGCCTCACTAACTTAATATTTATATCTATGATGACTTGTTTTGATTATTTACTGGGATATATGTAAAATTATTTGATTACTGGAACTAATAACAATAAAACATGACCAGAGAAAAAGAAAGAACTGAAAAAGAATAACATGTTGAGGAAAGAATATCGTTTGGACAGTGCCTGAGTTGACCCGATCTGACGTGTCAACACACATGAGTCAACACAAAAGATGGAGTACGATGACTGATCTTTGAGTCGATGCCGTAAGTTAACTCGAAAGACGATGAGACCCGGTCCAACAAGTCGTAGGATTTTATTGGGAGTAATGTCGACATTTCATGTGTATAATAACTACTAATTGTGATCCCTCTTATACTGTTCATGCATAACGTATTATTCGTAGTTTCTAATTATGTTTTATAATCTTTATTTTATTATATTAGTCTTAATTACTTGTTTTTTTATGCTGTGATTGAGAACCTTAGTAGTTCATGACTTAGTGGCCTTGTGCGTCATGAACAGACCTAGTGACATGTGTGGGTGTGTTGACTAAATTTAGGTGGTGAACCAGAGATATTGTGGACTTTGATTGTTGACTTATAAATACAAGAGATGTTGGGGTGGGAAAGTCTCTTTTCATGTAATCGGATAAGGCTGTTGATATATCTTCCAGGCTTGCACCAGTGGATCAGTGTCGCCACTGGGGTTGGTTTGTTGAGTCAAAGTAGATCGGTGTCGCTACTTTAGACCGTGAATTTGATATTCACCCGAGTTTAGCTTGAGTCCGGACCAGGCTGAAAACGGATTGTGTGTAGTCCTCTGACAGAGTTTGTGTAGCGGTATTAGATGCACATAGTGGATTTATGAACAGTCAGTTATCCGATAATATGAGCATTGACTCTGTGTGAGATGTGAACTAGTGACCTGTTATAGGATGGCTAGCTACATGATATCGTTTCTTGGCTAAGTATGGTTTCTTGAGAGATATAGGCCAGTTGTATTTCTTTTCATACATAGATTAGAATTAATATTTAATTATCTATAATTTGAGATATATGATATACACATGAGGGTTTTCTTGTTTGGATTATTTCGCTCGATGTACTATGTCTCTTGTTATAGATTTTTAAGTATTAATTCTATCTAGTTGTATGACCCTTGTTATTTGGATGATTATTCTGATTGCTAGTTGCATGACCTCGTCACCCGATTGATTTTTGGATTCTTTGATTATTATATACTATTAGTGGATTTCATCTAGTTTTTAGTATTCCAGCTGCATGCTTCTATTTATTATTACTGTTTGTGCTTTGGTCATTCGATCGTTTCTATTTCTCCCTTGTGGGATCTTACCGTGTGCCATGCACGCTGACGTACACCTGTTTTCTCTGGTGTACATCAGATTTAGGAGACGGACAACCTCAGTTTGGAATCGTACAGGATCCAGAGGATTCTCAATAGGAGTGCCTTGCAGATGTAGTAGAAGAACAAGCTGAAGCGTAGTGGTTTTCTTCCGTAGTAGTAGTTGTGGAACATTAGAATTTTTTATCATATTTTTCTTTAGTTTGATGATGGATTTTTATATTTTTAGTAGTACTTTCTTTTATTATGGACTATGTATTTTTTATTCCTAGTTGGACCGTTTTTGTAATAAGGGCATGTTTGACCCATATTTTTATGTCTGAGATGATATTCACTTGTGATATGAATCATTTTGTTCTGAATTTGTCTATTATATTCTTTCTAACTATGATCAGGGACCTGCGACTTCGTATTGTATTTATTTATTAACGCTTAGCATATTAGGTTAAGGAGAAAAGTTTATTTTTATTTATTCCCCTTAATCTAATACGTCCCGGTCTTGTTCACATTCTGATTTCTGGGTATTTTGGGAAGCGGGGCGTGACATGTTTTAGTGGTGGCCCATACAGGTCACGGTCCTGATTCCTCACTAGTAAGGATATAGTGGATAATTTAGATACATATCATATTTCATCCGTAAGACTACAATTAAGCTCTTATACTATTATCTTAATAACTATGTTTTAGTTCCTATTTTTTGATATATTGTTTTGATTTTAACCTTACTTTTCCTTTTGATCCTCATTTTCCTTCATAACCATGGTGGGTACGTGAGGCTATAGTAACCCGTTTGGTAGCAGTGCCATGCAGCCCAAAGTGGATCCGAACCAACTTCTGACAATGATTCTGGGATTGGTGACTAATCAGTAGCACCTGGCTGGGTAGCTGCACAGGGAGCCTCAGCATCAACCTCCCCCTCGCGTAGAGTCTGGTGTTAGGGAGTTCGGTACATGCGACCGCCTTCCTTCTCTGGTGCTGAAGGACCCTTAGTAGCGGAGGAGTTCCTGAAGGTCATTGAGACTATTCTCACGGTGACCCGTATTGCCCCTGCTAAATGGGTAGATCTCATGGATATTCAGCTCATCGATACCGCTCGGATATGGTGGGCAGCTGAGAAGACCCATCTGGAAAGGCCAATCTTGTAGGAGACGTTCACAGAGCGCTTCTATAGGAAGTATTTTCCTCAGTCAGCTTAGGAAGAACTCCTGCGTAGGTTTGTTAAGCTTAAGCAAGGAGGCCGATCAGTTAATGAGTATGAGGCCGAGTTCTCTTCTCTGAGTTGATATGCTCCCCATTTGGTTACAGATCCTACTATTAGGAGGTATCAGTTTCAGAAGGGTCTAGATAAGTATATCAGGTTTGCTCTAGCTGGTAGAGCACTTGCGACCCACGATGCAGTGCTAGATGCAGCACGTGAGATTAAGAGCGTGCAGAAGGAACTTGAAGACCCACATATAATTTGGAGCAGGGCACCTGTAGTTCTAGCTAGGACTGTCGAGCGTCCTTCTCCGAGGTAGCAGCAGCAGGCACCGCAGAGGCAACCGCATTCTCAGTGTCAGCCACCCCCTTTGGTCCACCCCTATCAGTGTCCTAGAGTACAGTCTCATGTCAGCCTTCGGTGGTGTACCCATTGTGGCTACACTGGACATACACAGCAGGAGTGCCGCATGCGTCTTCGTTTGTGCTACGCCTGTGGATCCCCCGATCATGTTAGTTGGAACTGTCCACAGCGGTAGTGGGCCAGCTTGCCCCCACCTCCAGCTCGAGCAGCTCTTCCAGCTCCGCCTCGATCTGCCCTAGCAGCATTACGTTAGCACAGATCCTATCCTTGAGCAGGGCCTCTTCTTTCACAACAGTAGGTTTATCAAGAAGTACAAAGGCAGCAACCATAGTGACAGATATTTATGATGTCAGCCATAGAAGCTGAGGTGAACGACCAGGTTATCACTGGTAAGAATTGTTCATCTTAGTTTTACTTGCATATGAACTTCCTTATTTAGCATTGCCTGATGATATCATGATAGGTTTGTTATGAGTACTAAGTTAGTTGCATTTACCTCCTCTTATAATAGGCAGTGATCTTGTTTCTTCTGTTCCTGTTTTATCACTCTTTGACTCTGGAGCCTCCCATTGTTTCTTGTCTCGTCGATTTGCGAGTGCCCATTCTCTTCCTATAACTCTTTTGACTATAGGCTGGAATATCAACACTGGTAGTGGCGTCTTAGTAACATCTAATGGTTATGAAGCATGCCCTGTGGTCATCTGCAGGAGAGAACTCTTTGCATACTTTCTAGTGATTGATTTGCTGAGCTTTATGTAGTATTTGGGATGGATTAGTTGGGGTCATTCTTTACCACCATTGATTGTCACCGTCAGAGCATAGTATTTGAGATACTGGATCACCCGAGGTTTGAGTTCCTCAGTGGTAGCACATCGGCCAGACCTATAGAGTACAGAGCTAGACCAAAGAAGGTGACATTAGCTGCAATGCAAGTGGAATCCGAGAAGCCAGTTGTAGTTCGAGAATTTGAAGATGTGTTTCCCGACGATATTTACAGATTACCACCGGATCGGGCAATTGAGTTTTCCATAGATTTGAAGCCTGGAGTTGCTCTGATCTCCAAGACCCCTTATCATATGCCTCCGACAGAGTTGGTCAAGCTTCGGACTTAGTTGGATGATCTCTTGCAGAGAGACTTGATTCGACCCAGTGTATCAGCCTAGGGTGCACCTGTGTTGCTTGTGGGAAAGAAGGATGGATCCAAGCGAATATGCATCGACTTCCGGGAGTTGAATGCTGTGACAGTGAAGAATAAGTATCCACTTCCCCGTATCAATGATATCTTCAATCAATTGGGAGGATCGAGAGTATTTTCTAAGCTGGATTTGCGGAGTGGGTATCACCAGGTAAAGGTTAAGGATTCTGATGTCTACGTTTCGGACGAGATATGAACATTATGAATTCTTAGTGATTCCGTTTGGTGTGACTAATGCGCCAGTGACATTCATGAACCTGATGAATCTGGTATTCTATGATGTGCTGGACAAGTTTGTGGAGGTCTTTATTGATGACATCTTGGTGTACTGTAAGAGTGAAGCGGAGCATGCAAAGCATCTGCGGTACGTGTTGAAGACCTTGAGATAGCATCGGCTATTCGCCAAGTATAGTAAGTGCCAGTTCTGGCTAGATCGTATTGTGTTTCTAGGACACATGGTGTTAGGAGACGACATATCAGTGGATCCAGAGAAGGTATCTGCAGTGAAGGATTAGCCTACCCCTAAGTCGGTGTCTGGTATTAAGAGCTTCCTAAGATTAGCTGGTTACTACTATTGCTTCATCAGAGATTTTTTGAAGATTGCGGAGCCGATGACGTGGTTTACGAGGAAGGATATTATGTTTGTCTGGTCCGACGCTTGTGAGCAGGCATTCGAGGAGTTAAAGTCTCGACTGATTTCGGCCCCAGTCCTGACGATACCAGATAAGAGTGGAAACTTTGAGGTGTTTTGTGATGCATCAGGTAGAGGATTGGGATGCGTTCTTCAGCACATATGCTTCTCGTCAGTTGAAGAAGCATGAGCAGAATTATCCTACCCACGACTTGGAGTTAGCAGCTGTAATTTTTGTCCTTAAGCTTTGGAGGCATTATCTATTGGGAGAACAAGTGAAAGTGTTCACTGACCACAAGAGCTTGAAGTATATATTTACTCAGAAGGAGCTCAACATGAGGCTACGTTGATGGTTAGAGCTGATGGCAGATTATAACATTGATCTTCAGTACCACCCTGGTAAGGTCAACATAGTACCAGATGCTTTGAGCCGATTGCCGGCGATCATGACCCTCACGACTCAGTGGAGACTTCAGCACAGTGGAGACTCCAGCAGGAAGTGAGGGATATGAGTATAGAAGTTCTTCTTCCAGGAGTCACCGCTTCTTTGATGAATCTTCAGATTCAATAAACACTAGGCGAACGAAGCAAGGCTGCATAAGCAGGTGACTCATTTCTTCAGAAGTGCAGAGATTTAGCAGTGGCTGGTCTTCGACCGGAATTTGTTGTTCATGAGGATGGATCCTTACGATTTAGGAGTCGTATCTACGTACTAGGAGGAGATGTTCGAGAGGAGATATTACGAGAAGCTCATAGCTCACCGTATTCTATTCACCCTAGAGGAACGAAGGTGTATAAGGATCTGAAGCTGAACTTTTGGTGGCATGGTATGAAGAGAGATGTGGCTCGTAGTGTGGCTAAGTGCATTGTATGTCAGCAGGTGAAGACAGAGCATCAGCGCATCGTAGTTCTTTTGTAGCCATTACCTATTCTGGAGTGGAAGTGGCAGTATGTCACCATGGACTTCGTCACTGGCTTATCTCGGAGCACTAGACAAAATGACGCTGTTTGGGTGATCGTAGATCGATTAACCAAATCGACTCACTTCATTCCTTTCCGAGTGGGACAGTCGACGGAGCATCTTGCTCAGAGATACATAGAGGTAAATATTTATCTCTATATATTTCAATGAGTTTCTTTCCCAAGAGTGTTAGTAAATCTCTCATATTGCAGGAGATTATGCGATTGCATAGAGTTCCAATGTGCATCGTTTTGGATCGTGATACCCGATTTAGCTCAGAGTTCTGGAAGAGTTTGCAAGCGAGTCTGGGGACCAGTATCAGTTTCAGCATAACTTATCATCCCCAGACCGATGGCCAGTCAGAGAGGACCATTTAGATTTTGGAGGATATGCTCAAAGCTTGTATGCTTAACTTCCACGGGTCGTGGGAAGATCACTTGCATTTGGTGGAATTTGCATAACACAATAGCTTCCAGGCTAGCATTGGGATGGCCCCTTTCGCGGCTTTGTATGGGAGGAAGTGCCGCTCTCCTTTGAGTTGGGACGATGTTGGTGAGCGAGAGATTTTTGGGTCGGAGTTGATTGACAAATCAGTTGATGCAGTCAGGATCATTCAGGAGAGGCTTCGCATAGCACAAGACAAATTCAAGCATTGGGCAGACGCAAAGCGCCGACACTTGGAATTTCAGCCAAGAGATCATGTGTTCCTGAAGATTTCTCCCAACCGAGGCACCATTCTCTTTGGAAGGTATGGGAAGTTGAGTCCGTGATATGTGGGACCTTTCGACGTATTAGAGAGAGTAGGAGAAGTGGCGTACCGACTTACATTACCACTCACCCTGGCTGGAGTGCATAACATATTCCATGTTTCTCAGTTGTAAAAATACGTCGGAGATCCGAGTCATGTCGTAGATTTCTTAGAGATTGAGGTGCGATCCGATTGACATACGAGAAGCAGCCAATGACGATTTGGACCGAAGGGAGAAGACCCTCAGGAACAAGACCGTCTCGCTTGTTCGTGTGATGTCCCACCCAGATTCTCCTGGAGAGTCGACTTGGGAAACCGAGTTTGAGATGCGATAGTGATACCCTCATTTATTTCCTGAATCTTAGCTATCATGTCTTGTATCTTAATTGAATCGCCTTGTATGACTTTTCTTATTTATGGATATGTAATATATTTTGAACTTTATATGAGTTGAAGTGAATCTATCTTTATATTTCGTCCTTGTTATTATAATTCCGAGGATGGAATTTGTTTTAAGGGGGTAGGATGTAACAATCATAATTTTTCGATATGTATTTAAATAATTTTTCCAGTATTTAAAATATTACATTTTATTTTATTAATGTTTTCCCTAATTTCTAGAATTTTCTAAGTTTTCAAAATAAATAAATAAATAAATAAATAAATAAATAAATAAATAAATAAAATATATAGTCTTGAATTTATTAATTCTGCTAAATATTAATTTATAGGAAAACTAAGACATGAGTTTCATGAATTTTTTTTATAATTTTGGTCACTGACATTATTAATGACCTTGTTATTATTGATGTAAACCTGAGTATAGTACAGTAGCATATAAATATAAATATAAAGATATTTGGTTGTTAATAATTTATTAATATAATGTTTATTCTGAATATTATGAAAAATATTTCCGTAATCTTTTCTCTCCCCTTAATTTTCTCTCATTTGAATTCTTTCTATAACCCCCTAATCAATTCCCTAATCACTCCCAATCAATCCCATAATCACGTTTAACTCATTCCATTTTTATTCACGTGATTTTCTCTCTCTCTCCAATAATTCACACACTCTCTCTCTTGTACTCTCTTCTTTTCTCTCTCACGCAACCCCCTCTCTCCGTCAGATCTCAACTTTCTCTCTCTCTCCCTCTACTTCACCACCTCAGCCACCATAACCACCAT